CATTCAATATATATATATATATATAATCCATCCCAGATTGTATGAGATTATTTTATCACTCTGAACCATTCAATATATATCAGAAATTTTTCATTACTCATTGCTATGACACAATACAAAATAAAAATGTATATAGGATCAGAATTTATTAACAACATAATAAATAATTTGATTTTTACCACTTGAAAATAAATATCAAAATAATCTTCCATCTCCGATATTACCTCTACAGCTATTATTCCATCTAAGTGAATGTCTCTTTGTAAGATAGAAATAAGTTGAGAACAGAAAATTTGCAGTGTACTTACAATATGTTGGTAAATCAATTAAAACATAACAATTAAGAAAATTAATCAATAAGCCGTTTCCGTTGAAAGAATTTCTTTAAATAAATTATTTGCCAACCACCCAACGAAACCAGCACAAACATAGTTCCCAGACTAAACCATTTTACTCGTTCATTTGTCGATTCTTTGGTTTTTTTTTTAATAATTTAAAAGGAAAAGAAATTAATTATTAATTGATCAAACAAACGAAAAGAGAAGCCCACCGTCTCCACTCACCATTTGTGTCCCGCATCCGAGCCTCACGTTTCCTTAAATAATCCATCTCATCAACAATCTCTTGCACAACCTGTTCTAATTTTCGGAGTTCTGCTTCCAACGGAGCCAGTTTCTCAGCAGTCGCTAGAGTATGATAATCGATTGCCTCTGCTCCTACGTCGACTTCTAGATCGATTGTGCGATGGTATTTCGGATCCGGGTAGGCTCCTGATTGTTTATTATTAAGAGTTTTTAATAAATAATATGAATTTAGTTTTCAAAGGCGTAACATGGTAACGAGATTGACACCTTCATCAAGCGTATTCGTAAAGCAAATATTTATTTCTGCGTCTGCTTGAGTCGTGAAGGCTATTGGCGTATCAGTATTCAATTCTTTTCTTTTTCGATAGACATTGTGCGCAGGACTGTTATCGGTGATCTTCATTGAGCAAAATTGAATATATTAGAATTAATCATACGAATTGTTAAAATTCAATCATGTGACCAAATAATCGAATAATATTGGAAATATTGAATAGCATATACCTATGGCCGCGTAAAAAAAAAACCAAACAAGCAAAAAATTACAAACCTCAACTTCCACTTTCTGATTATATCCTATTCCCACTTTGATTTTAACCACAACCATCGTATCAGCCTGTACATGTTCCGAGATACATTTTGGTTGGAACGAACCAATTGGTGCCGCGATTAAATCAAATTTTATTCCTTCCACCAGCGTATTAAAGAATAATGTATTACTCAATGCTATCACCAGCACCACCAACAATGTTGAAAATAGAAAGTATTTCGGTTGTTTCCAATATAACATTTTTTTTATTTTTGAAACCGAAAATTCAAACCGAGATATCGGTACATAGAATCATTAGAGGCTTCAAAAATTTTTGAAGGAACCAAAATAATTAATGTCGTGACACTAATCTTTTTTTAATTGGACAATTGAATTTCGACCAATAAGCTGTGGCCGATCTGATACATACCATAAAATATCCTCGTCCCTTGTAGAAAATTTTTTAAATCTTTCAGTAAGCCAATACAAAGATTCTCGATGAAATTTTTGTTAACTTGAGTTTAAAGCAGTGCTCCGACGAATGATGAAAGTCATAAAATCAAAATAATTATTTTATATTAATTCATAAACATTATGCCGTTGCCTGGAATCGAACCAGGGTCAGCGCGGCCACAACGCGATGTACTGCCACTATACTACAACGGCTGATTGGTATGCATAACTCACATTTTTTATTTAGATAAAGTATTACTTTTTCTCAGATTTTTCATGTCACGAAAGCGAGATTATAAAGGTTTAGCTGTATTAGAAACACACGTGACAAACTTTTTGCTCTTCAGTTAATCATAATGACTCACATCTCCAGCACCATTGCTTGATTGGCTGGTTAAAACAATTATCTTGGTTTTTTGGTGGTTAAAAAAATTTTAAAACGTCTTCTGTTCTATGCTTTTGATATAAATATTAAGAAAATAACAGGAATAAAATGATTAAATCTGTATTAAAACAACAAGTGCGTCTGGTGAGCGCGTTTTCAAATCGAATCTGGAGTATTAGAGCTACAGGAGTAGTCGTGAAACGCGCGTGTTCCCATCCTCAACATCAATTACATACCAGACCTCAACTTGTACCGGCTATGGTATTGGTACGCGTAGTTAATTGATTATATATTATTTAAAAACGATGTAAAAAACTATATGAAATTTAGATTAACACTTTGGTTTTTTTATGGTAACACCCGTAAATAAAATAGCCTCAAGTCTTTAAGCGCAACTTGTTCGACCGTAGGCGTCCAGGTGACTGGACGTGTAACGAGTGTGGTACGCTCAACTTTGCCAATCGAACAGAGTGTTTTGGATGTAAAGCCATTCCAAAGGAACGGGAAGTTGCCCCTGGTGACTGGTTATGTCCAAATTGTTCGTTTTACAACTATTCATCACGAGGAACTTGTTTCAAGTGTAATACACTAGCCCCACCAGAATCGGAGCGTGGATATGCCCCAGAACGTCGCGGTAATTATTAAAGATGATGATTATAGGATGAATGAAATATGTAAAAATTGTAATCGAAATAAAAACAAAAAAAATATGGATAAACTCACGAAACGGTGTTGGATGTCAGTCCAAAAATTATGGTTAATATTATATTGAATGGTTCAGAGTGATAAAATAATCTCATACAATCTGGGATGGATTATATATATATATATATATTGAATG